CTTGCATTTTAAAGCTTTAACACAAATATGGCTTTCTAAAGTAAATGGACCTCCTTTACCCCAAGAAAGGTGGAGAAAGGGTTTTGTTTCTTTTTTTTCAACCCCAAAAGTTGGTGCTCACAATAGAGTAGCATCCAAACAATTATATTATTGAGTAACTGAGCCACTCATGAGTTACCCCCTTGAAAAATTGCCTGGATGCTGTTTTTTAATAAGGGTTTAATAAGGCATCTAATTATTTGGAAAACCTTGCATTTTAAAGCGTTAACACAATTATGGCTTTCTAAAGTAAATGGACCTCCTTTACCCAAAGAAAGGTGGAGAAAGGGTTTTGCTTTTTTTTTTTTCACTCCCAAAATTTGGTGCTCACAATAGAGTAGCATCCAAACAATTATATTATTGAGTAACTGAGCCACTCATGAGGTACCCCCTTGAAAAATTGTCTGGATGCTGCCCTTTTTAATAAGGGTTTAATAAGGCATCTAATTATCTGGAAAACCTTGCATTTTAAAGCTTTAACATAATTATGGCTTTCTAAAGTAAAAGGACCAGCTTTACCCAAAGAAAGGTGGAAAACGTTTTTTTTACTCCCAAAAGTTGGTGCTCACAATAGAGTACCATCCACACAATTATATTATTGAGTAACTGAGCCACTCATAGGGTAATTAATTTAGAAATCAAAAAAAGGAAGCAATGAAAAAAATGAAAAAACATAAATAACAATAAAAAATCAAATAAAAATAAAAACAACTTCAAAAATAATGAATAAAAATAAAATAACAATAAACAAATAACAAATAAAAAATTGAAGAATTCAATAAAGCATTTCAAAAAAAATAAAAAATATAATTAAAAAACAACTGGAACAAAAAAACTCACAATAGAGGCCCCCCCCCAAGAATCAGCAAGATACTGCATTAGGAGCAAGAAATTTCTCACAATAGGGTACCATCTTGCTAATCAGAGGATTACATTAATGTCATCTTTCCATGGATTGATCTAAGGGAAAGTCTTGCCCGGAAACCGTGGTTTTTACCCTTAAATTGCTTGCGGGTTCCGGGATTCCAGTTTCAATTTTCCAGACAATCCAAGTCTGGGAATTTCATGCAATCTAGCTCAGAAATTGAAACTGTATTTAACAATGGACAACCACTTGGAAGAGTACATTCATCCTACTTCTGAAGAGTTGCAATTCCTGCTGCAAAAAGTCCACCCTTCACCATCATCCGACACGTCCCGGTGAAGATCTTTCTGCAAGAATCGCTAACTGAGAAAACACGTTGCTGTCGCATTGATGGTTTGCTCCATATTTTTGAACCACACATGGGTTTGTACAACTTCATGTATTTATGTAGGCTTGAACTTCGCTTATCAATACGTGGGCATATCATCTTCCCCATGGTAGGGTAATGTTTAAGTTCTTTGCTTGTCTCAGTGAAGTGCTGGCATCTTCAAGTTGCGGTGTTTAGTTGTTTGGGCACTGGGGTCCCGCAGTCTTGGTGCATAAAACATATCAACATATATACATATATATATATATATGTCTACAGTGTAAATATATATATATTATATATTTCTACAGTGTATATATATATTTCTACAGTGTATATTATATATATATATATTTCAATATATATATATATGTGTAAACAATTATAAACACCAATTACAACACTACTCGTGCTTGCTGTCTTTGCCCTGCTATTTCAACCGTCTCTGGTCTCTACTGAGCTATTTTATGAACTCCACGAAATCCCAGCGGGCGAACCCCTATATCGGAAAGCGAGGCTCGTCATAGTAGCTGGCAGAATAGCGATCCGACCTGCCACTAAGCCATACGGTGCTGCGTCAACAAACAGTCCAAGCAAGATGGTGAAACAACCTAGCAGGGGCATAAGTCTTGATTCCCTTGAGATCTTCAACTGAATGAAAATACAGCTGTACCGTATATGAAAATTGACTTCAAAACGACTGTGTCCAAGAGCAGGGGACACGCCGAAATGGCCGTTTCAACAGGGAAAATTACCATCAACCCTGCGATCTTAGGGTCACTTCTCCACCTGGCCAACAGTGGGCCAGAAATCTTGACCCCAACTGCCTCCGATTCTCAGGTGCGTTGCCACAGCGCGACAAGGCCTGCGCCGACCCCCAGGCATTTTCCTTCGATGGACAGTTCGTTTGAGTTTTGATTGCCTGGAAAGCTATTTTCAATCTCCAACCATCGAAGATTTCCTTGTCCTCTCCATTTGGATCATTGAATTCAAGCGCCAAAATTACTTGTCGATTGCCTGGCGGTTTGCTGGTTTTCAGAGTTTTCAGTCTGATGGATCCTTTGGTGACTTTAGCAAAGATCCTGGAGAAAAACATGCACTCAAGCCACCAAGTCATATCTTCCGCGGACTGCGCTGTGCATCGTGTTTTTAGGACTCAGATCAAACAACAGCATTTCCTTTTGGGAACAGAATATTCGCCCATGCCCATCTAGGATTGATGATATCGCTAGCTTTCTTGTCCAAAAATTGGGTACATTTGAACTTGCCCTTGAACTGGTAAAAATTATGGACCTAATTCTTTGGAAAAAAACATCGTGAACCCAGGTGCGGCTATCTGAAAATTGGGCACCCCAAAATCGAGTGATGAATCATCATGTTCCCATATCTCATACATGTTCCCTCTCAGAATTGCTACTTTGGGGTCCCTTTTTGTTGTGGTTTTCCCATCTGGATGCCGCCTCCACTCGGCCAAGGCCCGCGGCATGCGCGGCTTCATCCAGCAAAAAGAAGAAACGATCGCCTCGGCGGATTTCAAACGGGCTTGGGGATAGAGTGGGTTTTTAATCGACCCTTTTTTGTGGACTGGATGAATCATGAACTGGGACTGAAATGAGAGAGGTGTGCATTTTTTGAGGTGCGCCATGGTAATCAACAATATAATATTAGCCAGCATTGGCTATGGAGATGGCCAAGCCAAAATGGGATTTAACTAATGAATTAACCGGTATTTTTGGCCTCAGCCTGAAGAAATGGGGATAAATGGTGATTCACCAAATCATGTGGGATCTGATATGATATGGATTTGGAAGATGCTTATCCTGTCTATTTCGGGATTCTGGGAACATTGGGATTTTTGAGTAGGAAAGCATGCTGACTGGATGAATTTACAGAAACAACCTGAATGTCACATCTACGGAATGGGAACCAATGACGTTGGGAATATGGAACATTTTTGTAGTTGAGAGTGATTAAGGCTAGGGCAAACCATCAACAAAGCATCATCTATGAAGGCTAGGCCCAAACAATAAACTGACTTGCCACTTTCAGTTCTGAAAATCCAAGTTTTTAAGCGGCGCACCTTTTTTCATATCCTGACGATTGCCACATCAGCCACATGTATCGTAAATATTTGGTAAGCAGCAAACATCGAGGGTGGTCATTTTGGGCAGGAAATGCAAATCTCTACACAAGAACTCCACATCTGAAGGATCCATGTAGTGTACGAACGAAACTAACTGGTACCGTTGGGTGGAACTGGCCGTTGCCGAATCTTGCCTAAACCTATCACAAGTAAGTTGAAGTACCACTGCATCCTGTTTAGTATAAGATTCAGGTATTCAGATAGCAACCATGACAAACTGTAACAGCACCACCTGCCTACTGAATTATAGGTTGACTCTATGACTCAGCCTGTCGTTCTTGGACCCCCCTGGCTCTTGAACTGGGTCTCAACTGTCCCAACTAAAGAATATCTCAAAGGTTCGGTGGTTCGGGTCACCGAAATGGATGGAATCCAAGATTCTCAGAAGGTTCTACCAGCAAGCCACCCAAATCTGGGATTTTGGGCCCCCCTTGAAATCCCTGGAACCCCAACGATGCGGATAACATCTGGTCACCAGGTAAGCCGCAAAGCCTGGCCGCGCCTGCGCCCATTCCAGGTGATTTTGAAATTTGAGATGAATCTGGGTAAATTATAGTTTTATACCACCATTGTATATATATATATACCTGGGTAAATGATCATAATTCACTAACCTGAATAGTTCGGCCATGTGGGGATGATTTCCCTTAATTATGAACCAAGATTCCAGGGTTCGCCCTCTGCGCCTCTGCGCCCGGCGCACGTGCTTGCGCCAGGTGGATCGGAGTGTCTCGGACCCGGGCGGCGAAGCTGCTTGACCTGCGATCAGTTTCTTGGAGCCAAATGATGGAAATTAGCATGACATGATGGTATAATATGGTATAATGGGGACTAAACCAATCAGAATGAGGTAGTAAGGAGATGATGGGGGTATAGTAAGGGTATAGTGGGGGTAGAACAATCTTGGGGACTTTAGGAAAACACACATCCCGAAATGTGGGCAGTTGATGGTTTCACAGGTTCAACCGCCACAGCCCCGAAAAAATGTCATGAGAATAACCATCCCAAATATGGTTGATAGTCAAAAACAGATTTGAAATCACCAGCCAGTGTAGATGATCTATACATTTTGGGGGCACAGTATGACTAAGTAGCCTGGCCTTCTAATCATCTATAATGAAGGACTTCTTTCACCACGGGGATATGATTTATCTGCCAATCTAAGTGGAGTTCACCAACTTCACTCGAAGTCTGACTGAGCTGGGGAAATGACTGCCATGATTGGTACCGGGTATGTTGAATGATGAACATGTCTCATAATGTTGTGGGAGGGGGGTTCTACCGAACGTATCCAAATTGGACAATCCAAATCTCAAGATCCTCCAAACTCCAAACCATAGGAAATTTGCATCGAGTTCATGGAAGGTATCTATATACAGCAAATACATGCAAATACTACTCTCCAGTAAATCAAAATCGATATGGAACATCCGCCACAAATCAATTTCCCAGGAACCACTGGGAAGTTCCATGTTCCAATTAGTGGGTAAGAACCATAAACCATCACCTCCAGTAATTTTATGGCTATGAGTCAAAACCCTGGCACCCTTTCCCAAAAATAGCTGGGATTCATGGATGTTCATCTTCCCAAATATCGGAATATAGGTTTTGATACATCCCCATAATATGGAATACCCCCAGTTGTACTCGTTCGAACAACGCCGATGTCGGAGTTTTTCGACGCCGAGTCGCGCGGCGGGCACGGGGAAGAAGTCCGACAAGCCACCGGCAGGCATCGGGCCCACGACCTGGTGATCAGAGGGATGATGTTTCAAATGTGTTAATGTAACTATATAATCTGTATATGTATATATATATATGACATATAATATATACAAAATGTATATATATATATAGAGTAGTCGTTTCATTCTACTGATTTCTAATGTATTGTGTGCAAAATAATCGTTGGGTCACAACCATGGGACAGCGGTTGTTGTTTGGATCGGGTGTTTGAATTGTCACAAAGAAGTCAAAAGATCAACATATTTCAAAGATTCCCTACTCTTCATTGGGGACGGCCCAACATGGCAGTAGCCTGGAAAAATAGATGATGCAAAGCCTCTCCAATTTCGTGGGAAAAGACGTATCTGCCGATTTCAAAAGCCCTGGAAGATCTGCATGTGTCCCAAAATGTCTCATGTCTTCATGTCCTTAGCTTCCCGACGATTGAAGCAGGATAGTTTCTCAGCAGGTTCTGGCATGGTGGGCATTGAAACTACACAAGTTGCACCTGGTTCGACATTTGAACTCCTGACTGTGGGTAACATGATGTTTCCACCCTCAAGACTTGGCTGCAACTATTCAGCGCTGTTCAGCCATGGTTGCTACCAAGCAGGTCATTCCAATCATACGACCAACGTCTTTGATCCCAAAGGCAGTAGGCTAAACAGGGCGCTCCTGGAAATTGGGCGCCCAATTTCCAAAAAAATCACATCCCGAGGGCCCGTATTTTGAGGTATTTGGCTACACTCCTATGTGCAAAATACAACACATGTGTGCATATTCATTGCTTTTGTGACCAGTGTTGGTGAAATAGGTAGAACGCTCCAAAATAGTGTGCGGCACAAAGATCTCAATTTTATTCCCTCGTTATTAAACAAATGCGTTCAATTGAAAAAAAACACACACGTTCCAAACCGCCAAAGAAGTTTTGGGTTTCAACTGGTGTGCCAGTTTAATCCTGGGATTATATCTTACATATTATATTAGCTATACACACCATTTGACATATCATAGGTCCCACCCATATCTACAAATGTATATCACAGATCTATGTTGCACATAATATGACTGTGTATGTATATATATATAATACATAATAAATCCCAAAGATTGAACCATTGCTTATCACTATTAGATATGGATAAATTACTTGTCTGCATCTTTTTGTGGGGTTGCTATATAGGTTTGTCTCAAAATAGAGTACCTTTACAGTAAATCCAATTGTTTATCAGATCATCATTTTGCCCTATCAAACTACAATTTGTGGGGGTATACGGTATACCCTATTCTCAGACACACCCAAATATCATCATGATAAACATCCCATCAGGAACAGGCTGGTTTCTGTCTTTTTTGTTGGGTTACAGTACTACAAACCCTCTGGTATTCAAACGTGGTGTGCTGGAAAAGCCACCATTCATGGACGATGTTCCAATAGAACCCCTCTATTTTTAGTGAATTTCCCAGCTTGCCATGTTTGATGATACCGTTGCTGTCCATGCCATTGATCAACATTCATCGCCATTATCATACAACCATGATTAACCCAAATTCGCCAATACAAACCATCATTATCCACTATATCCATATCCATCCCCCACAATTATATATCTATAAACCCCATTAACTATCATACTATCTCAATATATCTACCATAAACATCCATAAACCATAGAATTCACCTAGCTATAAATCCAAGTTTGCTTCCATCGGATCATCCACGCCTCCTGCAGGCTATCCTCCGGAAACCGCTCGCCGTCCACGAAGATCAACACGCCACCGAAGTTCACGGGTGCCTTCCTCGGTCGGTGCCAGTGGAAGCAGTGCCGGTGGTGGAATGGGTGGAAATGCCTGAACATCGAGCTATAAAACCCAGGTAAAAATAGGGGAACATGCACATATAATGGGCATTTTGTTTGGGATTATAATGATTATAATGCGATGTAATAGGATATAATGGGCGATTGAATGGGAATGGTGGGGCACCCTCTGGTACGTGAAGAAAACAATATGGAAATCCATCAGTTTCCGTTCAGAAAAGGACAGGGTGTTCCATCTTTAAAAACACTTACTGAAGCGTAAGCTGAGGTTGGACGCGTCAGATATATGCAGTGACAGGTAAAATATGAGAAAATGGCGGGAAAAGAGCAAACGGTAGCTTGTTTTGCAGACCAAACTAGTTGGCAGATGGATGTTCATCCCACCAAATGTGGTAGTAAGGGCATTACTGGTTGTCCTATCCCCAACTACTTTGATGAGGTCTCACTTCTATCTTTGAAAAGAAGTTTGTGACCCTCAGACATGAACCAGTGCCGAATCTATACAGTAACTATTTTGGGATTGCTGTGGGGTGCAATGCTAATACAACAGTTTCTTGAGACTGGTCTGCAAGTTGGTGGATGGCTTTCCGATTCTCCAAGCATCTGGGCTCTAAAATTCTCAACACCTTGGAATGCTAGTGACTTTCCTGTTACACTTCGTAAATCTTCCATGGTTGCTTCAGAGTCTTCGGAGACCCATCTCCCCTGCCCTCTGGCCGGCGCCACTTTTCTTGTCGGCTTTCTGTTGCAAGGCTCAACCGGAGCTATTACCAGAGTCAATACTAGAGTTATCACTAGAGTCACCAGAGCTACCAGCACCACCATCATCATCGTCATCGTCAGGTCCCAAGGCCTTTACAGCAGCCTTGCCTAGAGGGATAGGTTCAGGTAACAGGCACGTGTGACCATCCTCAACACCCTCGCCCGTCTCGAGATAAGAAAGAATTTTGGACATGCAAGCATATTTTGCCACCGCATTGGTGTATTGCGGCAGGGTCTGGTTCTTCTTGGCTTCCTTATAAGCCTTCAACAAAGGTGTCGCATGCTTGGTGACCTTCAAGCAATGGCCATAGCCTTGCCAAGTGACCAAATAACCTGAAGGAGGTCATCCGCTTGGCACCTACTTGGTTGGGATTTTGGATGATTTTGGCCCTAGAACCTATCAGGTTTCAACCAATCTCAGTTTTGAATGATATTCCCGTTCTTGCTGGGCGTACCTGCTGCCATGATTTATAGGGATTCTCGTTCGGTCAGAATGGCTATGCTTACCATGCTCTTGCTGGTTTCAACAAACCCCAAAGGCACCTTCATTTACGTACAGGGGTTCATCCCAACTTTGATAGAAACAGCGACACCACCAACCATTAAATTTATACAAATGTCTGGACACGTAGCTCCACTCCTGAATCGATGGGTAAATTCTTAGATTACCCAATCATACTTCATTTAAAGCACCTCTCAAATTCCATTAAACCATATTCAACCCCATTGTCCATTGTATTTCCCATTATGGTTGGTTTAATCCCATGTTTTTTTTTCACTTCGCGAAGAAATTCTTCCCACCTTCCGGAAAGGCGGTCTTCATGTGCTGCGCGTTCTCGTAAGCAGTGTTGGGATCGTGCAGGTTGCCAATGATCACCTTTGCGAACCCGTGATTTCAATTGAAATTATACTACAAAAACCGTCATTGATTTGAAATTAGTAGTTTTTTGTCATGTTTTTGTGATTACAATTATCATCCAAAGATGTGGAGGTTTCCAAAGTCATGGGGGTACTCCAATGGCTGGATGATTTATAAGGGAAAACCCATTTATAAGTGGATGATGACTGGGGGTACCCCTATTTTAGGAAACCCCCACACTGTATGTACGGATTGCAGATATTATCACAAAAACAAAGATGATCATGGGATATTACCCTCCAGTTAACCATTTAACAAATGGAACATGGCCCATAACTGTTCGAGGATTTATGATGATATACCTTGTTGTAATGGTGATTTTCCATTGCTATGTTATATAAATTACCAGGGGGTAACCAACAAAAGCGGGGAGTAAACTGGAATTTAACCAACAATTTATTGGTTAATAGGAGTTCCTGGGATTTACCTTTTTCGAGATATGGGATTAAACATATATATATATATATACCATATTAAACCTACCAGCCTATAGGGTCTATATCTTTATGGGATCGAAATTATATAAACGATAATTATCTCATGATTATTTTTGCGTGTCTCAAACTGGGGTGTGTGTGTGTGTGTAAATATATATATATATACGGTATACCCACCAAAAGGCAACGTTAACAGGGCAAATGATGATCGACCCTTACATTTCGGGGTACTTTGGTAGGGGCGTAGCCCTTTAATATTTATATATATATAATACATATGACCTTAGTTTTATTCCATGTTTTTCGCCATAGAATCCATGATTTCATCCCACATTTTCCCCACATTTTCCCAAGTTTTTCCACCTTCACCGTGGCCAAGCTACGGCCTTCAAGGCCGGATCCCCCACGGGTGGCACGGGGCGCGCGTAGGCGGGTCAGGTGCTCATGGCGATGATCCAAGTGGTGGCCCACTTGACGCCAATGGGATCTCGGTCCTCACTGTGGGCTTAAGCCATGGGGTATTTTACTATCATTAAGAACTATGATGGTAATGAATGGTAACTGATGATTATGATGGATGGATTATGAAGTATTTACTATCATTAATGGTGATTTTCATGGATGGTGATGAATTATGATTCATGGTAACTGATGATTCATGGTGATTTTCATGGAACATGATCTACAAATCTAGGTAACTTACATATAAGATGATGAAGATGTAACTGACTCTACAGACAGTTGATATTAACTATTAGATATTAGATAGACTATAACTATGGTTATTAACCTGAGTATACAAGGCAAACCTTGGAGGTTCATAACTATGGTCATGAATGCTTTTAACTATGGCTATGAATGGTTATAAATGGCTATGAATGCAACTTGTCGATTTGAAGGCCTTACATAGTACATAGGATGTAACTGACTTTGTATGTATATCTATTATATATATATTGTATATTGGATATTAGATATTAGATTAGATATTAGAGATTGGATATCAGATATTATATAGATATAGATATAGATATATGTAAATGTGGGTGTAGATGTAGATATAGATATGTAAACGTGCATGTGTAACTATGTTCCATAGAGATGTAATGACGAATATTTGAATATATGATGGACTACACATAACTAATACTCAATGAGCGAGTATGTGCTATATTTATATGTGATGTATTGTATGTGATATGTGATACACCTATACATAACTATACTGTATTTATATATAATATACATGTGTATAACAGATTCATTATATAAATATATCATTAAAAAAACTTATGTGTAGTATACCTAGGTATGGATATAGACACAGGTATGTCTATACATATATATATATATATACACACAGAGATGGATACAAAGATAGAATCAAAAATCGATAGAGACTCAGAGATGTAAACATGTATACATTTGGGTGTGTATATATATATACATACATATATAATACACGTATACGCAATCATACATAGGATAAGCACACTTAGACGTATAACTGGGGTATACCATCATTTCTATAGCTGTGTAACTGGGGGCACATGACATGTTTTTTTTGCTCAACTGGACGAAAAGAGAACTGAGGAGCTGGAACCACCCAACTCCGGGCGGTTCCCGAGTTGTTGGTTAAGCCAACACTACTGACACGAGACTACTGAAAGTTGACCCAACGAAGTCTATTGAGGCGATTCACTACGCAAGTTGTTGGGTACCCTGCAAATTGAGAGTATCAGTTTACTATGGTTCATGAATGCAGGACAAAGAGCGATGGAAATTGTGGGGGGCCTCGGATCTTAAAACTTGACGCAGCACAAGTTCTGGAATTCAGTGTTGTTTCAAACATGTTCAGACCGTTCACAACCTCCTTGCATCTTCTGGGCAGGTGACTGCACAAGGTATCCCCTAAATTTAAATGCTCCAGAAATGTCACAACATAGAAGTGTAATAATCAAAACATAATCCCACAATAATCCCAGTAAAAATTTCCTCCAGTATGTCATACTCTCCCAAGATCTCAGAACGAACTGTCGTTCGTCTCGCCTGGGATGATCTTAGCCAGTTGCTACCCTTCCACATCAGGTGAGACCTGAACAACTGAGTCAGTAACTGAGTATATCTTCCATATTTTTTATATGGCCTGATACGATCTGATATGCCTATGCGCTAATCAGCCTTTTCATGCCTTTTCCATCCTTTTCCATCAACCATCGAGGTTCTTTGGTTGTCTTCCACCATGTGATGAATTCCTCTTCGTTCAAACGACCTGCAGAGTCGGTGCCCATGACCATCGACTGTATGCCGATCTGAAAATGATCCGATTCGTTGGCCTCCGAAGTTCGGAGAAGGAGGGATCAAAGGGGTCCATGTGGACCTATAAAAAGTGGACAGAAACCATGTCTAAACCTACAAAAAGTGGACCTATAAACATCTCTAAACCATGTCTTTTGAAACTCAGCAGGCCCTAGCAACGCTCAGAAGTCCTTGATGAACCAGGCAGCTAGATTCTTAGTGAAGATCTTCTCACATTGTCGGCATTTGCGTAGCCGCCAACAGAAGCTACAAGCATCCAGGCAAAATACCTTCTGCTGTCAAAAATGGGTAGCAATAAAAGCCCACCAAACTGGTCTTATTTAGTACTACTCAACCATCCATGTTTGATCCATTCTTGAGGGTGCCCTATCCAAGTTTATCCCACAGTTTCGAAAGATCATTTCCCAATTCCCTTGTTGGAGAAATTTGGTTGACGAATATCCACATCAACATACCCCTTACCTATCGCTCATCGCTGGTACCGCTTCTACCGACTCCACCATGGCCTCGCTTCGGTTGGTATCGTACGAGGCCAGCTTGTCTAAGAGCTGGAAGGTCTCATTGCAACCATAGACCTGTGATGCGAAACGATGCCTTTTAGAATTTTGGAAGTTCCTATGGGAAATCCATAATTAGTTGGTTCTGCCACTAAGATGCTTTGCAAGCCAGCAAAACATGCAAGACCAACACTGAATCACGTGGCTGGGATCCTCTAAAATTTGCGTGCTGTGTTCCGCGCAATGGCGTCACTCTATTTGTGGATCAACAATAGTTCAATCGCAGCGATAGTGTATGCACACCAAAATCCAAGCAGGGGATCTTCATTTAGAGTACAGCAGAATTTGGCACCCAAAAAGAACTGGGTTTCCCAGACTCGACCAAGTATTGTATGGAGGGTTCTTGAGATGGGGAGACCCTCAAATCATCCGGTCATGCTTCATCGCTCTGCGGTTTTGGAGTCCCCGATTTTCGGAAACCCATATGGGCCATGGTCATTACATGGTATCTATGGTATCGTCATAATGGGAATCCAGACTGGGTATATCAACTCTGAATCAAAAAAACCATCCAGGACCATCGATGGCTCCAGGTGGCCCCAGGACTGGCCTCTGTTCCAGAGTAGAACTGTTCCACGCAGGCCATGGCCAGTGGCCCAAAGAGTTCCTGGTATTTAAAAACCGAGATCTGTACCAGGCGCAGCAGCTGCGCAGCCTTCGTCTTGTTGGCTCCCAACAACACCTGGGAGCCACACCATGCCGTCGTTTGATGAATCGTTCAGTTGGTTTTCACGTAACTCCAACAAGTAGGCTGTATATAGATCTTTATGGTAGATGTGGAGGTTTCCTGAAACGGTGGTACCCCCAAATCATCCATGTTAGTAGGATTTTCCATTATAAACCAACCATTTTGATCAGGGTTCAGATAAGGGGGGAGGAGTTGTGCAGAGGCTTTTGGTAGGTACAAAACGCAATGCATACGGTGCGCAACTACAAATTTCAGTGCATGGTACCTTTTTTGCAGCTACAAAATACAGAACACAACCTTTTCTGACTCGGAAAATAATTCAAAATCAGCACTACAAAATCCAATGCATCTGAAGTTAAAAAATAGCTGAAAATCGGAATTGCTAACATGATTGACATTTTGTAGTTGGGTCTATGCCATCCAAAGTTCCAACCAACAAAATTTCGGAGAACATTTTGTAGTTGTCAATGATTGAATTTAGTTGGATCAAGTGTTGACCCCGTGCAGTTTGTTAGATGGCATTCTGTAGTTTCATGATCTGTTTGTGTCCATGTGCATGTCACGCACTGTTTCCTTTCTTCCACCTCTTCTCACTTCAACATATACAACTACAAAATGCAAATGAGGATTTGAAAGGAATCAACTACACAATGAATGCAAATACAAAAAGGTGGTCCCAACTCCTCCTTTTTGTACAAAACGACTGCTGGCTGGCATTCTGTACTGTAGCCCAAGTCCTCCCCTTTACGTAGCTAAAATTTGAAGGAGGATCCATTTTGTGGATTCCCCATTTATGGAAACCCCCATGTATTGCCACAGTTAAATTGGGTGGGCTAAACCAACGCCTCAGCGATCCCACCTTCATGGTCTTGGTGGCCGCCGAAGGGGCGGCAGGGCACACCTCATCGGGCGCCATGTTTCGCACCAGACTGGTCTCGCAGTCCTTGACCAGGCCGTCCCAGACCGACTCGATGCCGCGAGCACTGCTTCCAGCTCGGAGGGTCACCTTGGCGATGCCAGGGAAGATCATGGAACCATAGTTGGTTAATATTGCTACAATGGTGGAACCCAGAATATTAACCAGTATATTGACTGGAACCATAGTTCGTATAACGCTGTTAATATTGTTTAATGCCAGAAGTTCTGGTATTACCACTGGTATAAGCTGGTTGAACAGTTTAACCCATGAGTTGTGGTTCCACCATTGCAGTCATCGCAGCTGAGGATCATCAGGTGCTGGATTCACCACACCATCCATCACCAAGCGAAAGGTGTGCTGTGGAAAGATCGAAGCGTAGACAGAAACCTCAGAAAAGCTCTGTGGCTCCGAACAGTCGGCTGAAGTTGAGGGCAAATGGGCAAAATCAGCTGATTTTAAGCTGCGAACCCGAATTCACTGAAGAATTTTTCGGGCCAAAATCAGCTGATTTTTTGCTGAAGTTTTGAGGGCCAAATCAGCTGATTTTAAGCTGCGAACGGTTTCTACTTTCGAGTCTGACGGTCGCAAATGCGTAAAAATGCATCTGTGTACAAAACATTGAGATCAGATATGATGGAGAGCCTTCTCAACAAAAACATGAGAAACACCCCTTGGATTTGCAATCCTTTCGCCCTCATAATCACCTCCACAAGTTTACCCTGGTTTAGTACTGGATCTGTTCATTGTGGCACCCCACGTGGTTTCTAATGGTTCTAGGGGCTCGATTCCCTCCATGGCTACCAGGTTTCCGGGAAAAAAAACAACAATGCGGGATTCCACTCACCAAAAAATGCTAAACATTGCAGTTATCATGAGCTTGTCATGGGGATGTCATGGCACCCATGGGTTGATCATTCCACCCAGCAAAAAATGCTAAATGGGTTGAGCTTGTCAACATGTTTCAACCGGTGCCATGACACCCCCATGACATCCCCGCCCAGTGGCCACAGAGGTTCCATAGGAGGCCCCGTAGAGCGACAGCTGCTCCGCTCCTATGGCCTGACGAAAGAGGTCCTTGGTTGGGCGAGCTAAGTCATGGGGGTACCCCAATAGCTGGATGGTTTAGAACGGACAATCCGAAAGTAAAATGGAGGATTTTCATTTTGATTTGGGGGTACCCCCATTTCCGGAAACTGCCCATTTTTTCGATTGTATTCTGTGTCTGGCCTGGACAGTGAATCTATCGTATACTAACTTGCTGAGAATTTCGATCGAAAATTCATGGGGGATCTCCTGGGATTTGATGAAGGATTCATCATCGAACGAAAAGGACCATGTTACCCGGCCTGGTAAACGTTAACATAGCGAACTGGAAAATCCACCCATTTTTCATGGGGAAATCCACTATTTCATCTATTTCTATGGCTTATAGCTATGTTACTTTAACAGAGGATACCATGTTCATCTGTTTTCCCCTATGTTGAATTCCCTCAGATGCTAAATTAATGAAAACACAACGAGGTTTCCCGGGGCCCCCATTATGGGATGCCGAAACGCTGGACATCGAAAAACATGGGGGACATGGGATTACGACAGAAATTGGTAGCCTATGGATTTGAGTACAGTATATGGAATATATATGGAAAATATATGGAATATATATGGAATATATATGGAATATATATGGAATATAGATATATGGAATATATATGGAATATATATGGAATATATATGGAATATATATGGAATATATTGGAATATACTGGAATATATTGGAATATCTTGGAATTCCTTCTCATGGGTCTATAGAAAAACCCTTATTCACAGCTATGAATGAATGGAATTCCTCATAGTTGCCATTCTATGCCACAAAAAACTGACCGTCCCCAATTTGGGTATACAATCCACCTATACTGTGAGCTCTGTGAGCCGATCTCTGGGATCAGTGCCACAACCTTTGGTCCCATTGTGAGCAAATATATACTGTAGATCAAAACAAGTTCAGGTAGAAGTATGGCATTTATCAAATCCACCGCCCCACAGTTGGAGAAGTGCTCACGTTTTCTAAGTCCCTTTAGATCTTTAGGACCCGTGCAAGACAACAAAACTGCAAGGCGGAATATGCCTTCTCAATTCAAACAAGCCATTCACTGCAGTGACATGTCACACCAACTCTTCTGCGATAGCAAGCAAATATCCCCGATGTGAGTACCTGGCAAACCCATAAACTGTTGGTTGCCCTCCACAAACTAAACAAGTTTGCACTCCCCTTGACATTTTCTGCTCCCCTTAAAACTGAAAGCTGTCATAAAAGCCTTCATCAGAGACACTCACAGACCATTGAATCCCATTATATATATGTGTATATATATATATCTAATATATTATATACACACCGGCAGAACCAGACGTTCGCCCATGCTCACATAATCTCCCATTTTTGCCACGGTTTCAACAGTTCTCTCATCCAAATCCATAGGGATTCCCTCCATTTTTCAATCATTCCATCATTTTTACCGTTGGTTCCATGATGTCGCATTTTTCCCATGATGTACCCTATATTGAATCAAAATCTGAGATATTCTGTTATATCTTATTCCATCATAGTACATCATTACAGAAGGATCTAAAACTGCCAGTCAAATAATTATATAAATGTCTTATAATTGATATATTATGTCATGTTTTCTTCCATCATATTGCATCATCACACAAGGATCTAAATCTGCCACCTCCTCCAAACAATACGTGTAAAGGTCTTCTAATGGTTATATTCTATCTTATCCGAAATACAAGTGGTGCAAAAGGGTCGCTTTCTGCGAGAAAAGCTAGGATCCTGGAAAACCAGAAATTTACGTCAAGAACCCGTCCACGACTTCGTGGGGGTCTCTTGAAAACTCGGGTCGTTTTACCCGAAAAAAACAAAAAAAAACTCTAGGCAAACGTCCGGATCTGTGCATATAATATTATAATATCATATTAAATCCCATTATTATCCCCATGAAATCACCATTCTTATGATGTTTCATTGGGGGGGCATGAATTCGAATTTCCGAGCTTCCAAATCGTGAGCCAAGTCCACAGTCCCGGCAAAGAGAAGGGAATTGTACTCTCTTCCATTGGGAGCCTCGCGACGCTCAGGCGCGCTGCGCTAGATGGGCAAAGAATCCCTGGATCTGTTGATAATTCAGCTGAAAATCAAACCTTTTCAATAGTTCCATGTCAAATATATAGTAAATTATCTATAGTAAATTATATATATAGAGTAAATTATTTATAAATTATCTATAAATATATATTTATATATTATATGTTCATCTATTTTCCAGACGTGTGATGAAGATCGATTTTTATGGTCTGGTGAAACTCCGGCAACGCCATCAACCCAACTGCGGAAGCGACGCGTGACACGTTGAACTCATGGGTACCTTGAGCTTGTAACGCTCGGCTTCGAAGCAAAAGGCGTGTTCCAGCTTGACTAGGCGATAGTACCTTCCCAACGACAAAAAACGACGCAACGACAGCCATTCTGAATCGCTGGACTTGAGGAAAATCCGATTGGGAACAGGAAAGAACAGAAGTTCTGGGATTTTCCGACTGGATTTACTAGGTGTTTCACTTGTTTTCAGCAGGGAAAATTGTGAAATGTCCAATATAAATTACTAGAATAGCCCTGAGATATATAATCCCTCAGAAATTGGACAGATAACTATCAGCCAGGAGTTATCTTCTAGCATCCCAACTGCTGGGATTGGGGCTTTTTATCTTTGCATTCTTGCGGAACATCCAACGAAAAATTGGGTTAAGTTTAGTTTGTCTATAAACATGGGGTACCCCAAAAAATTGATGAATCATCAATTACCAGGAATATTAATGGAAAATAACCATAAACATGTCAGGAATATTAATGGAAAATATGCCCACAATATGGATAAATATTAGAAGCTCAATCATTTTCCCCATCAAAATTACCATCACTTGGGGTATCTGAAAAAGTTTTACCCATGAAAATGGCATTTTTTCTGCTCCAGATACCATCGAGCGAAGCTCTCATTGTATGGAGCCATGTCCTGAGGGAAACAGTACGGTGGTACTGGAGTGGTTGCTATGCTTGGCGAATTTACCAACGATCATGGGGATATCATGGTCATTTTAATAGGGATTTGTTATGGGATGGTAAACCTGGCTTTTCAGACAAACTCATATTGCTATGGCATACATAATCAATGATGATATGTGGGTGTCCTAAGTCATCGGGGGCCCCAAGTTATCATCCATTTTTTTTTCTTTTGCCAAGGAAACTAATGGTGAACAGGGGTACCCCTGTTTTGGGAAACACCCAAATGGATGCAAATGGATTTTGATGGAAATTGCACCGTACTTTATGATGGGTGGGTACAACTAGAAACACTGCAAGCAGAAAAAACAAAGACACACATCATTCGCAAGAATGTTTGAATTTATATTACATCGCAACTAACTTTGAGATCCATTGCTTGCCCCACCCAATGCACCGAGAGTCTGTGAAGGGTACATTTCCAGCCTTCCAAATGGGTAGAACATAGTTCTTAAAGGCATCCATGGAAGTGTTGTCCAGCGGCGCTAGCATCTCCATCAACTTCTTGGGTCTTTGCAAGAAGTTTCTTCGCTTGATCTCGTTGCAGTACATCGTTGGAAAGGGCTTCACCGCCTTGGCGCTGAACCATGATTCGAGTGGTGTTTTTAGAGGTGAGAACGATGAAAACAACGTTGAAATCGCCGGTCACAAAAAGGGGGCAATCGAAATAGAGCTAAAGACTGGACTGAGATGACTGAGAAGCAGCTGGAGAATTGACAACTTTGATTTCCAAAGCAACCTGAGAAGAAAAGGATATAAATACCACCTGAAAAGTAGATAGCTCAAGCTCCCAAACCCCACTCGGATCTGCCACCACAGCGAATACTGTAATATATAAAAAATGGGAATGGCAGATTCTCTACTTTTCAGGTGGTGGTTAAACATGGTTAAACTGTCTACCCCCATTGGGTAAGCTTCAAAGAACGAAGCACTTTTTCAGCCTCTGTGAAGGGGCAGGGCGGTACTTTCCCCCATCTTTTCTCCGTCTCGTAGGGGTCGCTGGAGGTGTTCACTCCTCTCTGGTCAATGGCTAAGAGATCAAAATCTGAAATCACTGAATGCCTGGCGGCCGGTGGGGGGTCCAGTCCACCTCAAAATTGCGACTTGCGATCATTTTCCTCTTTGAGGATTGAAATTCGAAAGAAAAAACAATTATATATGCCATGGTGAAAGCATCGTATATGTATATATATATATATGTATACATCTATATATATATATACAGTATAATTATTATATATCTATATATGTGTGGTATTCTGTGGTATGATGACCCATCCCATCATGGAAATCCTTCTGAACACATTCCCAATGGATCGATGACCATCCCCCATTTTTTGTGCACTTTGCCCAAGATTTGACCATCGCACATACATCACATATACAATATCTGAAACCATCACCCAGGTGCTGGCCATCTATGTCGAAGTTCAGTTTGCCTCAACGGCGCATGGTGACCCACCCTTGTCTATTTAAATATTTTGAACGGTGCAGGTGAGGTCTTCCCCAGGGTCTATGTTTTCCTTGGACAAACGACCCAGATTGTGGTGGTTTCATGCTGGTTGTGGATCCTTTTTGGACTTGACGACCACACACAAGGATGTATGTTTTTCAAGTTGATTCTGAAAAAAATCCAAGCACATGGGTGATTCAATCCTCCGGTCTATTCATGAATCTCTTGTTGATTAGAAGTTATGTGTTGGTTCTGTCTGGATGTTTGTTGTACATTCAACATAGTACCCCCCTCTCTCATCATTGCGTTTTAGAAACCCACAGAACGGGTTCTTGGGTAGCAGGGCAGCATGTTCTCCCGTTTCTGGCAACAAGATGTAACAAGCACACGTTCACCTACCAGTCTCCAAGGCTGTCGCAGTTATCCCCGGATTCCCATAGTCGTGGCATGACTCATCCCCATCTGTCAACTGCTCCAGCAACTCGACCCATTGACTCTTTTACACCTACAATTTCATACCATTCAGTTTTCCATACCCAGCTTTCACCAGACATGCACGATTAACCCACTCGCCTGACCCATTCACCTACCTTTCACCAGTGCTTTCCCATCTCTCAGCAAGTCTATCGTCAAAATTCTGTCCATTCACCTGCCCTTCCCCACCAGTTTCCCATCTTGTCCCAAGGTAGGTCATAACATGCTATATGCTATAGTTATAATTCTTCAACCAATAATTCATCCCATCTGGATTTTCCAATATTTACATATATTTACCATGCATTTTTCCATCTGTCACCACGGTTTTTTTTCACCAAGCTGCTCATGTCCATGGCACACCTTCGGCCGCTCCCCGGCCCCCCGCAGTGCGCCAGCAGCGGCCCGTTCTTCGCCGGCTGCTGCAGCGCCGCCATGCCCCGCACCCGCAGACAGACGTAGGGCGGCAACTCGTAGTCCAACAGGGCCGGATCGTGAACCAGAGGCACCTCACCCGAAAAAATGGGGATTTAACCAATCGAAACAGGTAAAATCATAGGAATTTCACCAGAAACGTGGGGATTTATATATAACCTCTAGCAAAAATGAGGATTGAGAGTTGATGGTGAGCTAAGTTGGTGAATATAACCATTATTTCACTGTTGAGTTTGGTAAGTATAACTATATGTAGTTAATGGGTGTTATAAAACAACTTAGAACTGGGGTGGCCCACCTGTGGCAGCTGGAAAGTGTTGAAACATGGCTTAATGGCCCACGAAATAGTTGGTCCAAAAACAGGGGGACCAACCTAAACTGGCTGCTTTAATCAGGAAAATCAGTATCAACCATCAAGTCTGATCAAATTTGGGGTGTGCCCTCTTTCAAAACAAACCCAAACAAACCCAAACAAACCCAAATGAGGTTAGCCATCAAAATCGGGAGCGGATGGGTTGGACCACATTTTTTCCCAATTTCAGTGGAGCTGCCGCAATCAAACATCCCAAAAAAAAATAATGCGAAAACCATGGGGGAAAAAAAAACATCGAAGCAACAGCTGCCTCAATAACACTGGCTCAGATCATTTGCAGATTCATGGGATCAGGGGCCTTTTCAATACCACTGAGCATTGGAAACAATATGTCAACGAATGAAACATCTATACGGCAACCCGTAGAAAGATAAAATGTAAAATCCTATCAAAATATTGGTGATCGAAGTACTTCTCTGGGGGTCGATATATTCAAAATGTGGAAACAGCGCCAACAGTAAGGACCACTTATGGTGAGGACATACCCCTGTCATTTTTTTCTGACCCGCCTTCAACCAGCCGTTGTAAATGCTGATGTTCACCAAATCTGTCGTGGTATTCAGCGAAGTATTCACCCTTCTGTCCCAGATCAAGAGCTCTGGGTTGGGTTTGAGAAAGGACCACTCCTTTGACACCGCGGCCTGAGACGGCAAGGCAGTCAGGGGTGCCTAAAAAAGACAGCAGAAGTAGTGTTCAGTGCCCCCTTCTATGTTTAAATATTTTTATATATTGTTATATATGTGTATATACGTTTATATGTGTTTATATCTGTTTATCTGTTGTTATATATTTGTTTGTTTATATATGATATATATATAGTTTTATACATGTTGATCTTGTGTGTGGTATCATTTCTTTGCCACTCAAAGTTCAGAACCTCTTCCCGAGATCGATTTATCGCAACAAAGGCAGCTCAACTCACCAAAAGTGAATCTTTCCAAGTGGTGCGAACATATTTCAGTTTCAGATCAAGAACTCATCGCTTTAAAAGTCCAAGTTCTGAGCAAGACTTTCAAAATAATAACATTAATTCATTACACCCAATTTCAAGTGACCAATTCGACACAACCTATCGCCTAGTTTCTGATTGCTCCCTCTCTTGACATCCTGAGCAAAACTATTGTTTTGAGCTCCCTACTTGAGCTCCTTATCGCTGAAAAAATATATACCAACCAACCAACATCGCCAAATCATCCAAAGATAGTCTGAAAATGTGGTAAACTAAAATTTCATGCTTTATATTGCTTCATCATGTTCTCGACTAAAACAACCATTGGATCCATAGAATTCACCGGTCCATGACCTTTGGTAGCCATGCCCCATCCCGGAGGTGCCTTGACCCCACGAAGCTGCCGCAAGGAGAAATCCGACGTCTCGTCATCCTATGAAGAATGGTTGATCCGATTTTCAGAAGCAAACTTGGGATATTTTATGGGATATTAGTGGGATATGTTGATGGGATATTAATTGAAAATTTGATAGGAAATTTGATGGGATATCAAACACAAACCCTTCCCTTTTTCATGTTAAAAACCTCCCAAAAACCATGTTGTTTTTCGGGATGAAACCATTTTTTTGGGATTTTTTTCATGGGGGCATTTCATGTTGGGAGGATGGGATTCGATGACATACACTGCAGTAGACTGACATGTGGAACATATTTTCAAAATGGGGTGAGCTAGGGTGCAAATGGGGGATCTTCAATGTCTTCAGTTTCCGTTTCCTTGGGGTCCAATGAAACTTCCCCTATGATGCTTTGTCTGTTCAAGTCCTTCCGATAAGGAAAGGGGGGAAAAAAATGATACGTGTGGCCTCCAGAAAAGAACACCCAACACCCAAAATTGGCCCCAGAAAACCAATCTGCCAACGCTCTGCGCCAAGATTCAAAAGTCGCACCGGAAGTCACCGGACATTCAAGGTCGCCATCCTACCGGGGCACCATCTGTCAGTGTGAGGCCCAAAATCCCAATGAAACTGGCTCTTAGTAAAGACTCCCTTGGGGACGTGAAACAAACGGAACTCTGAACTTCACCAAGCCTTGCAGACCTGGCTAAGGGCCACCGACACAAGCGCTGCCAAGAGAATCATGGCACTGGTTGTGCCAGCAAAAGGTGTGCTTCTACGTGTCGCTGCCGGTAGTTCTGCCGGTGTTGTGGCGGTGTTGTGGTTGCTGCGGCATCTAAAAGTGGTGGATGGGTGCTGGGGCTGCGATGTTTGTTGGTTTCGTGGGTGGTGGATCTTGCGGAAGGTGCAGTGGTATGTACTAGTATCTTTGGGGAAAAAGGGCTGCAGAGACTCGATCAAAGTACCATATCACCCTGAACAATCAAAAGAAATGGAAATGACAAAGAGAAGATCATGGATGTCCAATGTCCTAGGTTGCTTGATATCTTCATTATCCCTTGTTGGATCCATCTCTGGAAACAAACAAAACACAAGCCTCAAGTGGATGTCGATGCATCCAAAGAGGCCCTTCACATCCGACCACACCATGAAGATGTGATGTCTAGGAAAACATCCCAAAACCACCAGTGTGGTGTTCTCCCTTTCCATAACATGATCTGGTTGGTGGTTTCAACCCCTTTGAAAAATATGAGTCAGTTGGGATGATGACATTCTGCAGCAACTGAAACCTGTGCCACCGCTCACTGTCAGGTCATGGAAGCAGATGGTCGCTTCACCGCGACGTGATGGCTCAGGGGCCCCTTGTTTAGGCGCCACATGTGCCATGCAGGCTGCAGCTTAGACCTTGGTGGTCTTGGAAAAATCCCAGCGCGCTGTGCGCTTTGTGCCTTCATCCATCCTACATCATTTCCTTCGTCTATTGCCTCTTGTTTGAATATCGGTTGGTGGATTGGGTGTGAGCCCAGCTGTTTAACCCCTGCGCTGCCCGCTACATTGGTAGCGGAGCAGCAAGCTCCTGGACCTTTGGCATTGACTTTGAGGCCACCACCAAAGGTGATTTGCGCCTTGCAATCAGTGCTTGAGTCTTTGACTGGCAGGTCTACCTGATTGGATACTACATCCAGTTCTCCTTGGACCTTTTTGCCGAGACCTTTGGCATCAGTTGCCTTTTTGTGCTGTCAGGTGATACGACCTGATCCTTTGCTGGCCATTTTGGCCTCCTCTGAAGCTTCGTCATGTCTTCAGAGAAAGATCAACAGAATATCCCATCATGGGATGGCAGTGCTCGAACTTGGCGCCGATTTACAAGAGAGGTTTGCTGGTATGTTCGTGGAACCCCAGTTGAGAAAAGGCGCTACTGTGCCACCAAGCTTGTTGGGAAACTACGTGGGCCTGCGAGGTTGCTAGCTATGAGCTGGACCACCATGGAGTTCGACCACACCAATGGTGTCAAGGAATTGTTGCAGAGGCTGGCAAACAGCCCCTTGGTTCGTCAAACTCTACCGAATGCTGCAGCAACATGTCAGCAATACTTCAACTTCAGAAGGGACTACAACGAGCCAATGAACAACTTTCTTGTTCGTGAGGCACTTGGGTACTCAGAGTTTGTGGAAGCCCTCCTTCTCCTGTATGAGGACAAGAATGGAGTGAAGCAAAGTGAGAAGAACTTCGACCTCCCGGACGAAACGCCCTATGAGGAGCGATCTTGGTATGGATGGTATCCTGAAGATGCTGAAGAACCAGAGCCCGATGTACCTGTTACATCGCCTGCTGCTGCTGCAACGGCCGCTACGGCCACAGCTCCTGACTTTGGAGATGGCTCTATGGGAGCGACATCGCCGCAACGACGACCTGGTGGATCACCAAGCTACAGATCGGTTGGTGTTCCAAGCACCGCTGCTGCTGCTCAACCTCAACAAGGTCGAGATGCGATTGATGAATTCTCCTTGGCCGACAGCTTTGTGCTTGGAGTACTACGTGGCTTCAGGCTCTTGCAGTCAGCTGGATTGTCAGCTGATGAGAAAAGAGACATTTTGTCTGCCACCAAAGGCAGCCTGGAGTTCACCGTGATCACTCAGGCCTTGCAGACTCTATGGGATGAACAATTTCTTGGACGCTCTGGTGGAACTATGTCTTCGAGGAGCTCTATGAGCGGCTATTTTCAGGACACCTTCAACGCCTTTGAGGAGCCCTATGAACCTTGGTGGAACGATGGATGGGATGAAAACTATTGGGCGGAAGCTGATTACTGGCCTGATGAAGAATGGGATCAATACTGGGGAGATGCACAACATGTACAACATGACCAACTTCCTGCCGAAGAACCTCCTGCAGAAGATCCTCAACTACAAGATGCTATGAAGGTAGAACGTGAAGCTGAAAGCTTGGCCATGCAAGCTCAGCGCTCATGGGCAGAAGCTCAAGGGCCACTGCAGCTCTTCGTCGAGATCGTGGTTTCGGTCAACAAAGCAGTTCTGGTGATGTCAAATGTTTCATTTGCAATGGCAACCACTTTGCCAGGAATTGTCCTGACCGAATGCATCCCTCCGCCAAGTCCAAAGGCAAGGGCAAGTTCAACTATGCAGCTGAGTGGGAGAATTCCGAGCTCTTCTACATGAAGGGAAAAGGTAAGAAAGGCAAAGGGAAAGGCAAGTTTTCCAATCACATGTTGGATTCCAATGCAATGTGGAAAGGTAAGGGGAAATCCAAAAGTTCTCCAACACGTCCAGCAGTCAATGCATACATGACGGAATCACTGTTTGGTTTGGAACTTCGCTCTGAACCCTTTGAAGCGCAGTCCACCGATGCCACCAACATGCAGCCCAGTCTAGGTCTTTTAGATTGCGGAGCCACCGCAAGTGCCGGGCCAGAGACCTCTGTGCAGAAGCTAATCAGCTCTGTGTTGGCCCAGGACAAAGGAGCCACCGTGACCATCGCGAAGTATATGCGGCCTTACTTCCGGTTTGGGAATGGATGTTGGGGGCAAGCCAATTTCCGTGTTTCAATATCATCAAGTGTTTCTGGAGTTGAAAGAACCTTTCATATGTATTGCCTGCCGGACCCCAAGAATGGTGATGTCAACAATTTGGTGCCTGTTTTACTTGGTATGGACCACCTATCTGGAAAAGATGCTCCCGAAAGTGCTCTTACAATTGATTTTTCGACTGGTTTGGCTGTGGAATCTATGAACCCCCAACCTGTTGTACATCAACTACAATCCAACAAAAAGGGTCACTATGTTCGGGACATTGTCAAATACCTCACTATGGGTTTTTCCAACCATGAAGGGTCTCCAACAATCCATGTGCTTGAGGGTGCGATCCAGTCAGCTGAGTTGCAAACACTTGAATTTCATCCAGTTCAATACTATGACATGTCCATGCAAGACAAGGTTTTTGATGAGCAGGTTTTGGAAAGGTCACGACGGAATCTTTTGGCAATTCATGCACAACTTCATGGTCTTTCATTTTCATCCTCTATGTCATCAGCTGCTTCGGCTTCAATGTGTCCTAGCGACAGAACGACTCCCAATTCGAAGTTGCCTGCTTCCTGTGCGCGTGATGGCTCAGGAACAACCTCCAGTACAAGAACGGGGCAACATCTTGGAGCGCATCAAAGCAGCGACTCCAAAGACCAAAGATGTGCGACCCTTGGATCCCAGTCGTGCGATGGGCATGGACGAGAGAGATCCGCGGGTGGAACAAGCTCAATGGCCTTGCTTCGGACACCATGTCCCAGCGAAGGCACACAGCAATGCACACGGGCAGTGGACTCAATGCTCAGTGTGCAACCTGCGTCTCAACTATGTGCCGAAGGTGGGCAGTCACAGCGGCAGTACGAAGGTGGAAAACAGGGCAATGGTCGTCAGAATGCTGACCGAACTTCAGCCTTTGATGCGTGGAGCAAAGCCCACGGCAGCAATCTGCCTGGCCATGCAGAAGAAGATCGATGCCGAGGAAACCTTGACCCACATGATCGACAAGGAGTTCATGGCGCAGAACCCAATGGGATACACTGTGGGAGGCCGTCCAAAGGCCAAAGCTTTTCCGACGAGGGCATCAACAACTGTGGAGCCAGTGCAGACTCCAAGATCGACGGCAGAAACCAACTGGGATGTGATTCCGGGATCACCTCCTCCTCTCAACGACTTGGAGAACCACCTCACTGCCGAGGAGAAGAATCAGCTTGCAGCTCATGATCGAGCGTCGCCAAGCAGCTGCGGCATCAACACCTGTGCCGGAGCCCGTGAACCTGACTGCGGCCTACGAGGCCGACATGGCGTGAAGACTGGCATTGACGAGACCTATGTCCCTGCGGAGTCCTTCAAGACCGACAACTTCAAGGTTTCAAAGGAGCTCTACGGCAAGTTGCAACCCTTGACCAACAATGTGGCCACCAAGGTGATGATGTTCGCATCAACTATGATTGCAGCGGCAACTGCAACGATGTTGGACTTTACTCTTGATGGCCGAGATGGACTTTGGGAAATAGCATGCGCCCCACACTCTTGGTTGAGCCAAGCTGCCGAGCAACATGGCTTGCAACCTCGGCGCATCAACCTGCAGAGCGGTTTTGATCTGCATCAACCAAAAACTTGGGAGCGGCTTGATGAGCTTCGACGTCAGCGTCGTCCAAAGCGTTTGTGGTGGAGCCTTCCGTGCACACATTGGTGCCCATGGTCTTCTCTCAACTACTCCACACCTGAGCAGAAGGAGTTGCTTGAGTCATACCGCAGAAAAGACCGAAAGCTTCTTTGGCGTGCATATGGTTTCATCAAAAGAGCGATTGAGGATGACCCCGAGATCACAGTGTTTTGGGAATGGCCTCATCCTTGTTTTGGATGGAACCAAGAACCTATGCTGGCGATTGAACGCCTTCTTCAACAACATGGTCATGAATGGCTGGACTGTCGCATTGATGGCTGTCGCTATCATATGCGCGATGCACATGGTGATTTTCTCAAAAAGAAGTGGAAGATCAAAACAACTGATGAACTTTTTCACAGTCAGTTTCGTGCAAAGGTGTGTGTTGGCTCTCACTGTCATGGACGAATAGAAGGTCAAGAAACTGCCAAATCGGCATACTACCCATGGCAAATGGTTCAGTCGATAGCCCGTTTTTGGGCCAAGCAAGAGGTCTCCAATCAGCAACTTCGGCGCATGGACTATAACGACGTTGCTGAG